GGGTGGGCCAAGGGCGGGTTGTTGGCTGCTCCCGGCTTCGTGGGTCTGGGACTTTGGGTGATTTTTACATTCTCTCAAACTCGGGCTGGTCCTGCCCCCTTCGCGGTGCGGGTGTCAGGTGGTAATTTTCCCCAACTCTGGCTCTGCCGCCGCCGGTGGGGGGAGGGGGCGGGGAGGAGCGAGACGGATTGAAGCACATGTCTCCCTGGAGTGGTTCGGGGCTCTCTCTTCCCCCCCACTGATGTTAATAAACTCCGCCGTTGTTTTAATCTCCTTTTGGCATTTGCAGTTATTTCTTAGCCCCTGCAAGCCAAACTTCTCACTATTGTTTTAAAGGGTGAAAGAGATGAATGACTTTTATTGAAGTTTGAATATAGGGCTATAAGGAAGATCTTCATTTTAAAACCCCGTGTTTGTAGCTTCACCTTAGCTTTTCTACCATACTCTGTCACAAAGAAGACTTCCCATTTTGCTCTTTGAATTAGACTGCCTCTCTTTCATGGTTATTCCTAAAAGCAGTTTTAATAACCTTTCCATTGTGTTTCAGTTTCCTGCATTAAAATTATCATATAGAATGATTGTAGACTTGGAAATTGTTTCTTCCTTGATTATTAGGTTTTGTTAGAAGTACTTCATATATAAACAATAGTTGTTAAAAGCAAATATAATCTATTCCTCTTCTCTTGGAATTAACATACAATTACTGTAACAAGTTTTTCTTTAATTTGACTTTAAAAATTAGGATTTTTAAAAAACAAAACTTATATAAATGTGTATAAAGAGCACTTGGGAGAGTTATTTTCATAGAACCATAGAACTGGAAGAGACCTCAGAAGGTCATCAAGTCCAGCCCACTGCTCTAGGCAGGACCAATTCCAACTAAATCAACCTGGCCAGGGCTTTGTCAGGCGGAGACTTAAACACCTCTAGGGATGGAGACTCCACTACTTCCCTAGGTAACCCATTCCAGTGCTTCACCACCATTTAAAAGATACAGGATTTAAAATATACAGTAAAATCATTCCTGGCAAAAGGATGTATCACCTAAAATTTTTCTAAAGGTAAGCCTTGATGGGGAGTCTACATCCAATGAATGAGATGTGATAAGTCTGGTTTTATAATTACCCTATTTTATTTCAAAGAAATATAAGTATCTTTCTATCAGTTATGTGCTCTGAGTTTTACTACTTTGTTGGTTCAGTTATGCTTTGCTGTATAAAATAAGGAAAAATATTTGTGTTAGATAGAATTTCAACTTCATTGGTTATACATTGTCTGGATGCATTAAATTTCCTTAACTCCATCTTTCAGATCTCAGCTTACAATAAATACTGCAATTGTTTACATGCACAGGTTTTATATGCATCATTCCTTCACCAAATTTAATAGAAACGTAAGTACTGACTTTTATACTCTTAAACTATACTGACCCATAATTTTGAGAGAGAAGCTGCCGTATCTTCCTGTAGTATTTCAGATTAGCAATTCTGCCTTATTTTAGAAACATTTGTGGTAAGACTTGTGAATGGTTAACAGGTAAACATCACCCTTACCAGATGATGCTGACAAGTTATAACCAGCAGGGGCTGGAGCAGCCCCTGTCCTGTCAGGCAAGTGCCCACTATGGGATGTGGGGTTGCTCTCACCCGTCCCCCATTTAAGCAGTTAATGGGTTAAACATAACATTTAACCTGTTAACTGATTAAACAAGATTTTACATCCCTATTTGTGGTACTCGTATTTCAAGTGAGTTGTTTTAACAGGTAGTGATTAGGGATGTAAGAGTATAGCTGTTTAAACATGTAATGCATGATTTTAATGGATATTCAAACAGCTACACTCAGCTCCTGGCTCCCAGGGCACTGGCTGCTGCCCTGCGTGTAACCTAGAGATGTTACATATCGGTTAATTGAATAGTCGATTAACCTCATGAATTCTTATCGGTTACTCGACTAGTCTATAGTCCCCAAGGGTCAGGTAGCCAGTGCGCTCTGGATTCACCCCTGAGAAGTCTGCCATTCCACGCTCTGCTGCTATGTCAGAGGCAGCAGCATGGGGTGCTGGGCGAGAGCTGGTCCACAAGGGGAGCTAGTTAAAAACCAGCCCCCTCTTGGACCAGCTGCCTATTGCCCTTCACTGCTGCCTCTGATACAGAGGCAGCAGCACCATGTCGCAGAAGCCTCTGTCTGAGGGGGTCTGAGCTCCTAGATCCAGTGCAAGTTGGAACTGAACCAGGCTGCCCTGCTGCCTGGCTCCTAATACTCCTAACAAAGCTAGGGTCTGCTACCTTAAGTTCTACTGACCCTGGGCTTACATTGCAATGTACAGTGGGAGTAGGTCATGGATCTGGTGCAAGCCAGGACAGAGCTGGAGTGTTGGACCAGCCTGCTAAAAAATTACTGGCTAGGAGAGGTGACCCGGGAGGGGCTGGGAGATGATGTGTATAGTGTATAACATTAACCTGTAACCTTTTGCTTATCAGTTAATTGACTATACTATTGCATCCCTAGTGTAGCCACAGACATTTTCAGTGGTTACACAGTTATTCAATTACCCACATTTAATATTCCGTGTAGTGATTGGCATTTAATTTCTTTGTGTTGTTAAAGTAGAGAAATAATGTGATAAGCCACAAGAATACTATTTTTCTATTGAAGAGTTATTGGTTAAACTCTGTCAATACAGGCAGTTCCCGGGTTACGTACAAGATAGGGACTGTAGGTTTGTTCTTAAGTTGAATCTGTATGTAAGTCGGAACTGGCATCCAGATTTGTAGTGATTGGCATTTAATTTCTTTGTGTTGTTAAAGTAGAGAAATAATGTGATAAGCCACAAGAATACTATTTTTCTATTGAAGAGTTATTGGTTAAACTCTGTCAATACAGGCAGTTCCCGGGTTACGTACAAGATAGGGACTGTAGGTTTGTTCTTAAGTTGAATCTGTATGTAAGTCGGAACTGGCATCCAGATTCAGCCGCTGCTGAAACTGACCAGCGGCTGACTACAGGAAGCCCGAGGCAGAGTTGCTCTGCCCTGGGCTTCCTGGAACCAGCTGCTCTACCCCAGGTGTCCCCAAGTCAGCTGCTGCTGAAACTGACCGCCAGTTCTGATTTACATACAGATTCAACTTAAGAACCCCAAGCGTCCCCAAGTCAGCTGCTGCTGAAACTGATCAGTGGCTGATTCCAGGAAGCCCCAGGCAGAGTTGCCTCGGGCGGCTGAATCAGGACGCCTGGGGCAGAGCAGCTGGGGTGCTGCCGGGTTGGTCCAGTAGTGCCCAGAGCGGCGCTGTGAGACCAACCGGCAGCGCCCCAACTGCTCTGCCCCAGGGTCCACAACAAAAGCCTGGTCTGTTGGGGGGAGGGGCGCACTAGATGGGCCCCTCCTTCCCCAGCAGAGCAGGGACACGGGGAGCAAAGCCGCAGCAGCGGCGGGGGGCCGCACCTCTGAGGCTTTTCGTTTGCT